GTATAAAGTTGAATCGGTTGCTCCAAAGGTAACATACTTGCATTTAAGTCCAGAACACATTGCAGAGATATCAATAGACAGGAGTAATTCTGAAATCTCAGATTCTCCAGGCTGGTGGTGGGGGGTGGGAGTGGCGGGGGGAACCTTAGCAAATCACTCCATCCTCCCACTGTAAGAGGGCCCTTTTGAAACACAGTGGCGGGCCAGGGAGTCTTGGGGGAATGCCTCAGGTGGGTCCCAACTCTTCACACCGTGGGTGCAGCATGAGTGGTGGCCTCTTCCTCTGCAGCTTTGCCCCCAGTGTGCACGCCTCCTTGTTCTGCTGATGCCACCTGTAAGGATAACAACACGTGCGAGTGTAACCTGAACTACGAAGGGGACGGGATAACGTGCACAGGTAGGTGCCGTGTGTGTGTGAGCTAGCAGAGTGCTGCAGGAGCAGAGCAGGGCTTGCTCAGAGACCTGGGCTCCATCCTGGCCTTTCTACTTCCTGCCTGGGCCACCTGGGCAGTACTTACCCTTTCTGCAACTCAGTGTCCTTAATGGGCTTACAAATGTCTGACCTGCCCTCCTCCCAATTTTTCAAATGGCTTTGCAAAGCGTGACGTATTTTATTTCATAGCGCTTTTGTTACTCTACATATAATCCAGCCTTACTTCAAAGAATTCAGAAAATACACTACAGTATTTTAAAAAAACAAGTTAAACCTACCCATCCTCTCACCACTTGATGAGAACCAGTCTGAATATTGCAATGTCTGTCTTTAGTAGTTAAGTAATAGATTCAGCCACAGAGACCCAAATGAACAGTGGCATAAACAAGACAGATGCTTAGATGTTTATATTTATCTCATATAATAGTTTGGATGGAGACATCCAACTAACATAAGGTTTTGCTCTGAAAGGTCACCTAGACGGCCGTCCATCTTGCTGCTCTGCCATCACTCACTTGCGCGGCCTGAGATGGCCACTACCATAAGCCCATCCCAGGCAGCAGGGTGGAGGAAAGGAGGGACCCACCTAGAAATTTCTAAAATCCTTGTCTGCTCCCATCCCCTCGGCTGGAACTTCATCGTCTGTCACATTTAGCTGCAAGGAAGCCTGGGAAATGTAGTCTTAGTTGGGCAACCATGAGCTCAGAAAAAAATTTATTACTATAGAAAAAGGAGATGATAGGTTTTGGGGAAAGCTGCCAGTCTCAGCCACATATACTTTCTCTTTCATGAAGAAATATTTATATAGAGATATATACTTTCTGTACAGAAATGAGATCTTGCTATACCTGCTGTTTTGTAATTTGCTACAAGACAGTCCAGAAGTGGGTCAGTGCTCAACAATGGCAGGAAAAACCCAGCTTCTGTCTTTCTGCTCTGCCATCCTTAGAGTGGGGCCTTTTGTTCTCGTGTTCATTCTCTTGAGATCTCAAGTGGCTGCCTCAACTCCAGGCAAAAAGGCAGGCAAGAGAGATCAGATAGCTTTCCAGCTACTCCCAAGACTAGAGCTAATCTATCATTGGGTTGAAATTTGGGGGATTATAAAACAAAGGTCCTCAGAAGCACAACACTGTGGGGAAGGCAGAAGCTTTGGAGTCAACCTGGGTATTAATCCCAGCCTCTTTGTCAGATCAAACTCTCAAAGAGTTTCAGTTTGTTTATCTGTAGAATGGGGGTATGTAGGGGAAATAGAAGTTTTCACTCAGAATCTCCAGAATCCCCTACCTGGCCTTTGTCCATTTACATGCCAAATGGATGTTTACCATTGCAGAGCCTCCAGTTGATCTGGGGCAAGGGGTGGAGAAAAAACAGCCATTCTCTCCTCCCCTCCATTCCTGGTAAATAATTGGTCTGGCATTTGCCAGTCATCAAGGACCCCCCCATGGAGTTCCTCCCGGAAAGGGTGGACTGGGGAGGGGAGCACAGGCTCGGCCACGGGGTATTGCTGGAGCAAGTGAACCTGAGCAAGCTGGGAGAAATAAAACCCCTTAATCCAACCTGTCCTTTCCCTTGCCTTACTTTGGTTTCACCGGATTCAAGGGTCCCCCTTACTCCCGGAGCTACAGGGTAACAATGCCTCAGTAGGTGTTTAATTGTGTACTAACACCACACACACACACACACACACACACACACACACACACACAACTGTCCTAACATTAAAAACCCAAACTCATTCAGAAAACTACAATGCCTCACTAGGTGTTTAATTGTGCACTAACACCACACACACACACACACACACACACAACTGTCCTAACATTAAAAACCCAAACTCATTCAGAAAACTACTAGCAAAATGGAGCCTAGAGGTGTGTGACAAAGGGAGGCAGAGGTGGACCGATGTTAACAGGTCTGGCCTATGAGCGCATTAGCCACAGAATACACGTGTTTGCAAAGCCTAGCGCAGAGGCCCCAGGGCAGAGAAGGCACCACCACACTGAGGCCCACTCACTCCCCCGGCACCTCCGGTCCTGGGAAGCACCAGTGACAGACAGTCGTTAACTGTGCCCTCTGTCCTCTGCTCTTGCAGTTGTGGATTTCTGCAAACAGAACAACGGCGGGTGCGCGAAGGTTGCCAAGTGCTCTCAGAAGGGCACGAAGGTCTCCTGCAGCTGTCCAAAGGGCTACCTTGGGGATGGCCACAGCTGCATCGAGATGAACCCCTGTGCAGACGGCTTCAACGGCGGGTGTCATGAGCATGCCACCTGCAAGATGACTGGCCCAGTGAGTCCCTCTTCCAGGGAAATTTGGGAGCAACTGCATATTCCTTGCTCAGCCTTGTTTCCCCAGTAGGCTACCATTTGGCCTCTTCCTGAACTTCCTTCCCTCCTCAGTCTGTGTCTTGTTCAGTTGGCAGGCCAAATGCAAGGTGGTACCCTAAGCAGAGAAGGACATCAGTGGGAAAACTGGTGAAGTCCACATGAAGTCTATTGTTTAGTTAATAATAATGCACCAACATTGCTTTGTTAGTTCTGACAAAGGTGCTATAGTTACAGAAGATGTCACCATAGGGGACACCGGGTAAGAGCACATGGAAGCTCTCTCTGCTGCCTTTGCAACTTTTCTATAAATCTAAAATGATTCAAGATAAAAAACCTTATTAAAACAAAAGAAGTTGGTAGAAGTGTCAGGAAAAGCAGGTTTGGGCACTCGCTCAGGTCTCCGCAGAATGGAATCGGTGCCCTGCAGCCTCTTTGTCTGTTGGGAAGAGAAGATGGTGGGAGATGATGTCTGTTATGGTTATAAATGTGCACTTAAGAGTCAGACAGCCTTTGAGCCTTAGCTGCCGGACTTAGAGCTGTGTCCTGGGGCTGGCTACCAATCTCTCTGTAACTCATCTGCCTCACTTGCAAAGTGGGCCTAATAATAATGCAGACCTCATAAGACTGGTGGAGATTAAATGAGATCACTCACTGATTCAACAAGTGGTCATCAAGCACCTACTTTGTGCTGTTATATAGGTGCCAGCGATGTAGCAATAAAAAAGCTTACACATGAGTAGAGGGAGGAGGCAATGCTCAGGGCAGAAACAAATGCACGAGATACTTTCAGAGAGTGCTGAACATCAGGGTAAGTTGGGTGATGTGATAGAGGAACTGGGAGAGCTGAGATGTAAAGGATGACATTTCATCGTAAGACGTGGCAGTCACTTAATTCCCACTGAGCCGGAGACACATATGTTCTTGGTCCTTCAGAGCATCTCCTGTGCCAGAGCATATGGGGGGCCTGGGGGCTTTTATCTTTTCCACTCTTCCCACAGGGCAAGCACAAGTGTGACTGTAAAAGTCATTACGTGGGAGATGGGCGGAACTGTGAGCCGGAGCAGCTGCCCATAGACCGCTGCTTGCAGGACAACGGGCAGTGCCACGCTGACGCCGACTGTGCCGACCTCCATTTCCAGGGTCAGTGTGGTTAACTGCCTGGTCCTCTGGCCTGGGGGAGGAACCTGTGCAAGAGCAAAAGGAAAACAATGAAACACCAGGACCCAGCAGCCTGTGCACTGCCCGGATCCAGGGCCCAGAGGCAGTGGGTGGGTCTCTGTAGTTGAAGGCATGGAGTAAGCTCGACTGGGACTCTGAGCCTTTAGAACCAGCAGGGAGCCCAACTCATCCATCATGAATTTTCCTGATACTTGCTTCCCCCAATTTGCTTTGTAATCCCTGGACTGTTGCTTGCAGTTGACTCTGAGGAGCATAGTTTAGGGTTTAACTAACAAAGAGGAGGCACCTGCACATGCAGAAGCAATTGCTTAGCAGTTGTTCTGGTAATAATACATTGATTGGCAAATATCCCATTTTCTTCCAAGGATGATTTGAATGGCTTGTAATAAACCCACAGGCACAATGAAGTAAGAACTATAATACACAATAAAGTAAAGAGCCACACAGAAGTGCAGAGGTGCGGGGGTAGGGCATCCTGACCCCACAAACACAGCTCTGAGCCAGGGCAAGGAGAGACTTCAGTGGTTCAGAAAAGCAATTCAGGGCACAACAGGCCAATATTCAGATATGTCTGAATGGGTTGGGTTTGTTTTACAGATATGGTCATTTTATTGAGGCAGTTTTTATACATCTCAGTACCTACTGGCTTATACCTCTTACATACTATCGTAATCCACTCAGGCTGCTACAGCGGAGTACCACAGACTGGGGCGCTTATAAACAGCAGGCATTTATTTCTCACAGTTCTGGGTGCTGGGAATCAGAAACCAGGGTGCCTGCATGGTGGGGTTCTACTGGGAACCCTCTTCTCATTGTGTCCTCACATGGCGGAAGGGGCAAGGTTGCTCCCTGGGGTCCCTTTATAAGGGCTGTGCTCATTTATGGGAGCTCTACCCTCATGACCTAATTACCTCCCACAGGCCTGCCTATTCATACAATCACAGGGCCCAGAGTGGGGCAACCCAATGCCGCCTCTGCAGCAATCAGCTTGGCCGTGTGTCTCAAGAACCTTAAAAGAATTCATATAGACACTCAGTAGCTCCATTTCAAGGAACCCATCCTAAGGAAACAGTCTAAAAATTGAATAAAAATAAATAGAGCAACCCAGCATTATCATAAATGTTAGAAGTAACATATATCAAACAGTAAAGGATGATCAAATATACGGTCACACATGCACTGAGATGCACTATTGCACACTGTGTTGTCTTGACAAGGAGACAAGGAAGAACTTCTTTCCATCCTTCCCCAAGCTGTCTGTCTCGGTAAGTGTTTGCATTTAGGTATGGCTGACAAGATCATACAACCCACGTAATGCACTGATACTTGCAATTGGAGCATAGTTTAGGGTTTAACTAACAAAGAGGAGGCACTGGGTTATGGCCAAAAAGGAAAATCTTTAACACAGCCTTTTTGGTACAGAAAGAATCTTTTTCTTGGTATTTGATAATGATGAACTTGACAAAGTAAAAATATGACTTGTTCTTAGAAATTCCTTCAGTCTTTGCATTCGAGTGTCTAAAATGATATCAGCTATAAAAAAAATGATAAACATCTTTGAGTATCTTAGGAGAAAACTGGCTATAAAATTTTTTCAAGGTATAGTAGTGATCAGAAAATACAGAGCCCTCTGCAGAAACTCACTTTAATGTATTTTTTTCATGGCTTTAAATTCCCATAAATTTTCAATTGTAACTATCAAAGGATAATCATGTGGCTAGAGAAAGTTTTTACTTTTGGAAAATAATCATGACAATGTTATTTTAAAAGATTTCTAAAACCATATATGCAGTACGTGGCCACATCTGCATTATCTATGACACACAAATGACTAGGAAATCAGATTGGAAAAATGTGAAATTACATCAAAATGAAAAGTTTTAAAAAATAAAAATTCTGGAAAAAAGAACACCAAACTATTAGCTGTGGAGTAATGATCATTTCCAAGGAGTAGAATTACAGGTGATCTTTGTTTAGTTCTTTTCTTACTTTTCTGTATTGCCCAGATTTCTACAAAAAAAAAAAAACATATTATTTTTATAATTAGAAAAGAAAGAAATATTTTAAATGGTGTTCTTCCTCATAACTCGAAGGGAAACGGTTTCCCAAGGCACCCTGGGATATGGCTGGCCCGCCAGGCTGACCTGGATGATTCCTCCTCTCCCCCTTCTAGATACCACCGCCGGAGTGTTCCATCTGCGCTCCCCGCTGGGCCAGTACAAGCTGACCTTCGATAAAGCCAGAGAGGCTTGTGCCAGTGAAGCTGCAACCATAGCAACGTACAACCAGCTCTCCTACGCCCAGAAGGTGGGCCCCCAGCGAGCGCACACTGTACAGGCAGGGTCTGCAGGGGAGGACGAACGGCCTTCTCTCAGCACAGGGGGACAGGCTGTTTCCTTCACGCAGGCAGTGCAGGGCACCCCTGAGGCAACCCTGATTGGTCACGTCCCTTGGGTGGCTCCTGTGGGTCAGGCACTGTGGGTGCTTTCCTGCCAATATTGTCCCTCCTTCCTCACCTCTGGAGGCAGGTGTCACTGTTGCCATTTTACAGGTAGGGCACCCAAGGGACTGGAAGGTTAACTACTGTGTCCAGTGTCACCCAGCCAAGAAGTGGCAGATCCTGTATTCAAATGTAGCCCTGATTTCAAAAGCCGAATCAGTCATGACATTCAGCCACCACGGCAGAGGGTCAGACAGGGAGTGCATACGTCACAGATAGAAACCGGAGAGATTAATAATCCCAAGCCCAGGATCTCCCTGAACACACAAAGTAATCAAGTTTCTCTGGAGTTGCTGGAGCTCTCCGGAGGGGCCGTGAAGGCAGTAAACGGCATTGCCCAGCTCTTAGCCAGCCAGATAGGAAATGGAACTCCGGCCAGGGCTAATCTCTTGGCCTCTAAAACCAGAAGCTCTGCCTGCTGGAAAGGCTAGCCCCTTGGAGTTACCTGCCGGTGACTGCTCACTGGAAGTAGAGGAGGTGACTGCCTACACGGCATGATTTTAGGGCCCTCCCTCCAACCTCCTCCACTACCAAATCTCTCTACCTTTCTTCAGACCTGACAATTCTCTACCAAGAAACACGGCCTTTGGTGCCAGGACCCAGCACCTTGGCAGGTCTAAATTTTGGCTCTCCTGCTTGAAGGTTATGTGGCTTTAATTAAGCCATTGAAACCTCTGCACGTTTGTATAAGGACTGAAGGTAATATGACACAATGACTGGCACATAGTTGGAACTCCGTTTTTAAAATTAAGAGCTCTGGGGTACACTGCTTGGTTTGAATCTCAGCTCTGCTACCTGTTGGCTGTATGACTTTGAATAAGTTACTGAACTCCTCTTAACCTGTTTCCTCCATTACATGATAGGGATTTTCTAAAGCTCCTACCTTATAGAGTTGATGTGAGGGTTAAAGGTGTTGACATATGAAAATCCCTTGCAACAAAACCTGGTCCAGATAGGCTCTCAACAAGTATCATGATGCTGCTGATGGTGATGGTAATGATGAGGACAGTGCTTTGATGATGAGATGGTGGTGTGATGACTTAGAGTCCCACCCACCCGCATGCAGAAGAATCTGCACCCAGAGGTAAATGGCTGATAGAAAATCCTTTCTCAAGGACAGACAGAAGAGAAATGAGTATGAGAGCCTTGGGCATCTACCAGAAAGAGAGGGCACTACTGTCATCCATCCAGTAGCCCAATCAACAGAACTTCGTGAGCACCTGTGAATGCGCCACATACAGGTGTACAGTAGTCAAAATAAGCCATAGCCTGAGACTCCATGGAATTTGTAGTCTGATGGGGGAATCAGACACTAAGCAAAAGACAAATATGAAATTTCATCTGACCCATGGCCACATCTGTGTCCCTGCAGGCCAGGTATCACCTCTGCTCCGCAGGCTGGCTGGAGGGTGGGCGGGTTGCCTACCCCACAGCCTACGCCTCCCAGAACTGTGGCTCTGGCGTGGTTGGGATAATAGACTATGGGACAAGAAACAACAAGAGCGAAATGTGGGATGTCTTCTGCTACCGGATGAAAGGTAACTGCCCCAGCTACACTGCAGACTCCAGGCCAGGCAGTGGCTCAGCAATCCTCAGCCGGGCCAGCCAATCGCCGAGGGTGAGCAGGAGCCGTGCCGGCCCCTGCCTCACTGGAGTGGGACCCCATGTGCTCCTGCCTTCCAGATGTGAACTGCACCTGCAAGGTGGGCTACGTGGGAGATGGCCTCTCGTGCAGCGGGAATCTGTTGCAGGTCCTGATGTCTTTCCCCTCACTCAGAAACTTCCTGATGGTACGTACCCTCTCTGCATGTTTTCACCTCAGAGAAGGAGGGCTTGCTTCAAAGCAGTAATTAGCGAGGTGAGTCCTTGAAGAAGCCAAAGGCTCACAGTCCTGGTTAACAGCATGGGCACTGAACCACATGGGCTGAATATGAAGCTTAGGTTTGCCACTTACTTGTTGCTGTACCTGAAGTTACTTTCCTCGCTGGGCCTCAGTTTCCTCATTTGTGGAAAGGAGATGATGATAGCATCAACCTCATAAGATTACTGTGATAATAAACTGACTTAATGTTTGTAAAGCACTCATACCTGTAGCCAGCACATGGAAAATGCTATACTGGTGTTACCTAGTGTCATTATCCCTTTTTGCAGCTAGAGCAGCGTAAGTGTCTGGTCTCAGACATGAGATGCTCTTTTGTCTCAGCTTAAGTGTCTGGTCTTAGAATGAGATGCTCTGGACAGAGTGGGTCACAGCTCAGCCTGCCTGGTGATCACTCAGTGAACTAAGTTAGTTAGCGAGTCACTTCTGCTATTATTCTCAGTTTGTCAATAAACAGACAGGTTTAGCAAGGTCAAGGACAGAGCCAAGGAAAGGGGACTGAGCATATGGACAGGGCTTGCAGGATCAAGGCAGAAGTTTGACCAAGGACCCCATAATGGTGAATTTTTGGCCACAGGCCAAAGGTGCCCATCTAACTGGTCTAAAAATCAGGGATACTAAAGATAAACACTGAAGCTAATGTTTCTTCTGTGTGAGAGCTTGGCTTATGACAGCATTTCAGAGAAAAGATAGTGTCAGAACAAAACTCCCCAGCTGTGTACCCTTCAGCAAATCAGTTAACCACTCTAGGTATCAGTTGTCCTGCCCACACAGTGACAAAGCTGAACTGGATGACGTGACTTCTTAAAATTTGTTCAGTATTCATTGAGCACTTACTACATGTTTGAGCTAGACAAACAAAATAAACAACAAACCAATAAATAGTACTAAATGCTAGAAGGTGATGTATACTATGGGGGAGAAGTAGAGCAGGGGAGTAGGGTGGGGAGGGGAAGGGGTACTGCAAAGTCCCCATTCTGCAGCGTGATGAGGGAAGGCCTTAGTGAGCGTGACATTTGAGGAAAGTGTGAACAGTCGAGAGGGAGTTAGCCATGCATATTTGGGGGAGGAACTTTCCAGGCAGAGAGAACAGCCAGGCCCAGGATGGAAGGCAAGAGTGTGCCAGACAAGGTTAAGGAACAGCGAGGAAGCCAGCATGGCTGGACCAGAGTGAGTGACGAGGCCTGCTGGACGTGAAGTCAGAGGAGCAACAGTGTCCGGGCATCATGAGCCATTGTAAGGACTCTGAAGGAGGTGGGGCCATTTCAGGGTTTTGACAAGAGGAGACTCAAGATCTGACTTAACATTTCAAAGGACTGTGTGGGCTGCCCTGTTGAGAATGGTCTGTGATGTAGCTGTGACTTAAGACCGTAGGATTCTCTGAGGAAAGGAAAAGTGCTCCCAAGATTCTCCCAAGGGGCAGTCGGCAGAAACAACAGACGAGTGACAGACTGAGCAGGGTCTAATCAGGAATGTTCCCAGATTGGCAACGGACGCCCTGAGACCTTCTCCATCAGCCCAGTCCTCAGACACCAGGGCTGGCCCGTCTGATTACTTCTTTCCTCTCTCCAGGAAGTGCTGGCTTATTCCAACAGCTCAGCCAGAGGCCAGGCATTTCTGAAACACCTGACTGACCTGTCAATCCGCAGTACCCTCTTTGCACCACAGAACAGTGGGCTGGGGGAAAACGAGGCAAGTTGAGTCCCTGGTGTCTGTGCTTCAGCCTAGTGCTTCTAGACCTTATCAGTAATCCACCACAATGATGCTACGTCACAAATCACCCCAGACCTCAGTGGCTGCACATTTGCTTAGCTCACACATCTGCAGATCAGCTGGCAGGTCCTCTGGTCTCAGCCAGGCATGCTCATGTGTCTGAGAGGGGCTGGCTGTCAGTTGATCTAGGCTGGCCTGTCTGGGGCTCTGCTCCACAGGGCTGTCATCCTTCAGCAGGCTAGCCGGGGCTTGTTCTTCCAGCGATGGTAGGAAGTGGTGGGAGTACTGCCAGGGCTTATCAAGCAAGCTCTTGTTTGGTCCCATTTGCTAACATGCCACTGGCCCAAGAGGTCACTTGACTGAACCCAAAGTCAGAGTGGGAAGCCCTTCAGAGTTACATGGCAAAGGGCAAGATACAGGTGGAGTGAAGGAGCTACAGATGCAGTCAATCTACCACACCAACCTTCTTCACATCGTGGCACACAGAACAATTGGCATTATTTATTCTGCCCACCCACAGAGGGCTCACCTGCAGGCTCTGACAGTCCCAAGCCCTACCACACCCAAGAGCAAGAAGTAATATCTCTACCTACTTGTTACCCACTCAAGACCCATTCTCTTTAGGACACCAGTGGGAAGCTCTGCTTAGATCATAAAGACGACTTTCAATGCCACTACCTAGCAATACTGAGCTTCTGGCAGAGTCCAGACCACCAAAAGCCCAAGAAAAACTTGACATTTCCTGATCTCCACATTGAGGCAGAAAACCAAGCCCACAGGAAGTGGCTTTTTTTCTGTGTCTTCCTTATTGAAACACACAGATGTTGCTTAGCCTCTAAAGACCATTCTTGTGTTTCCCCTTTCCTCTCAGACGCTGCCTGGACGGGACATTGAGCACCACCTTGCCAATGTCAGCATCTTTTTTTACAATGACCTCGTCAACGGTACCATCCTGCAAACCAGGCTGGGAGGCCAACTGCTCATCACCTCCAGCCAGGACCAGAGCCAACTGGTATGAAAACTCTTCTGGGCTTATTGGGAGAACAAGATAAAAAAGACAAAACTCCTAGCATACTGTAGGTGCTTAGTGGATGGCAGCTATTACAATGGGAAAGTAAACTGTATAGATGTGGTTAGGGATGGTCTACGACACCTACCACAGCACACTGACTGTTAGGCAGCCCCTACCCCTTGGGAAACAAGCCATTGGTGACCACCAACCCCAGAAGCTAGGAATAAATGAGGAACTCTTAACGAAACCATGTTAAAGCTGTCTGATTCTCTCCCTGATTTGTTTCTATCAGACTGTCAGTCTGTCCCAGGCATTAATATGTGAGCGCTGAAGTCAAATGACCGTAGTAGGAAAAGCAGTCCTGCCATTTGCTAGCTGTGGGAACTTCAAGTTGTCCAACTTCTCTGTGTCCCAATTTCTGCATCTGAAAAATGGGGACAATGGTGTAGATAACGTTCACGATGTTGGTGGTGATGGTGGCAGTGGTTGTGATACTAGATGTGGTGGCAGTAATGACAGCCGTGATGATTATGATGTCAAATCATAGGATCTTGTGCAGTTTCGGTGATTCAAACCTTGTGATATGGAAGAAAAGGGCTTAATCTGCATCCAGTGCTAAATGAGTATTATTTTTTCATTTTTCCCTGATAAAGTATTTCTTTTATTGAAGATCAGTAGTTTAGACCAGTGTTTCTCGAGCTTTGACATGCATCTGAGTCACCTGGAGACTGGTGACAATGCAGACCTAAGTCTGCAGGTGGAGCGCAGGGCCCATGCTGCATTCATAATGAACTCGCAGGTGATGCCCTCACAACCAACAAATCACACTTTAATTAGCAAAGGATTAGATCCCTTAAAAGTCCCTTTTCTAACAACTCTGTGTGATGTTCACAGCAAAGGAACTGGGGTCCGGAAGCATGGGACTGGCCCCTTACTACCTGGGTGATCTTGGACATTTCCTTCCGAACTCTCATCTGTTAGACAAGCGGGCTGGGCAGAATGACCCTCGAGGTTCTTTGCAGCTCTGCCAATGCTTGTTGGCACCAGGGCAGCTAACGTGTTCTGAGCTACCTGGATGGTGAGCAGGAGTCCTGTGCTGCTTATCGGTGGAGAGAGGCCTGAAACTCAGGGTCCAGGACCTCAGGGGGGCTGAATGACTTCCTCCCGTGGAGGGGCTGCCCACGTGGGGAGAAAGATCCTGATGGTCACAGCCCTCCCTCGCCCGCTTCTCGTTCCCCTAGGAGACCAGGTTTGTCGATGGAAGAGCCATTCTGCAGTGGGACATCTTCGCCTCCAATGGGATCATACATGTCATTTCCGGGCCTTTAAAAGCACCCCCCACCCCGAGGGTAAGTACCCAGGGCTCCTGGCGAGGCGCCAGGAGGAGCCACGGGATCTGCTCCCCAAGAGGCAAACTGTGCTGGCAGCCGCATCCAGCCCCGTCCTCTGGAGGCCGGAGGGGCATCCCTCTCCCATGGCAGCTGGCCTTGGGATGGTGGCCCTGGTTCATCCGTCCCCCATTCCAGTGCATCAGCAACACAACACCTGTCACCATCAATACTTGTTGAGTGAAAGTGGCAGGATGGGCCAATAGAGAAACCACTGGAAGGGGACTGTGGAATCCTGAGCTCTAGACCAGCCTCTCCACTCACTAGCTGTGCCGTCTTGGACAAGCCCCAGAACATCTCTGCGCCCCATTTTCTCATCTGCAAAACAGAGGTCATAACTCTCCACCCCACCCCCAGTTCTTGGGACGACTTTGAGTCAATAAATCGAATTAGGCTGATCCCTGGCACTTAGTACATGCCATACAAGAGTTGGTTGGTTGGTGTTAGCATTCTGTTTCCTACAAGTCTGATGGAGAGGCAGGCACAGCTCGCTGCTGGGAAGTCCCATGGCAAAGTGACTACGAGTATAAGCTCCAAAGCCAGGCTTGCTGTGAAAGCCACCTCTGTCACTCACCGGCTGTGTGATACTGGGCAAGTGCTTAACCCTTTGTGTCCCAGTCCCTTCCATATCGAAATGGAAACAGTAATAACTGTCCCTATTTCTTCAGGCTATTATAGGTTTGAATAGACCCTGGCAGTAGGAAGGGCTAGATACATGTTAACTGTTTTATCATTATTTCCTAATGGGCTCCAAGATGTATCAAGCCAACGAGAGAGGGGTGGGCTCCAGAAAGCAGACTTCTTTCGGGATGCACCCAGTTTTGAGCACAGCCCCCTCCCTTTCTGCGGTCAGGCTGCGGCGCACACTGGCTTGGGGACCGGGCTCTTCTTTGCCATCACCCTGGTCGTGGGAGTCACCGCTTTGGGTGCATACTCTTACTTTCGGCTAAACCGGAGAATAATTGGCTTCCAACGATTTGAGGTAAGAGAGAGAAGAAAGGGAACATGGTGACGAAATCCAGTCCCTACCTCTGGGTTACTTCCACTCATGGGCTGCTCCAGGGAGCTCGCCTGGGAGTTGGGTGCCTGGCACACGCTTCCTGCCGCTGGCTGGGGTCTCTGCCCCTCGAGGAGCAGCAGGGGCCACTCAGAGCGCCTCTTCCTGGCTGAGTCGGGGCTTTGGTGAGGAGGTAATGGGATGCCAGGAGCACAAGCCCTCTGAGCCTCCAGGCCAGGGGCCTGGCTTGGAGGCCAAGTCACCAAAGGCCAGGATTCATGAGACAAGCGCCCATCACGACTGGCTTGAGCTTCAAGGCTGAGGCTGAGGGTGGAGGACAGGGTCGGAGACCTGCCCAGGGAGGCCCCACGCTGTGGCCAGTGAAACACATTTTGCCCTATTTGAACTGCTAAGCCCACATTTAGGTCAGTGGGTCATGGCTGACTGTGGGTGACCCCAGGAACCAGGCTAGACAGCAGCTAAACACCCTCCCTTCTACTCCTTTCTACTCACTCCCTGGCCCACCCTCTCCCCTGTTGCGTCCTCCAGACATGCCTGTAAAGACCACACAGGGCCCCCAGGCAGCATCCACCTGCTTTTAGCAGATATCCAGCCTATTTACAAACTCCAGGGACGAATCTCCAAAACATCATTTCTAGCAAAGTGTACATGCTGCATGAGTCCTTTAAGTTCAAGGGCAGGCAAAACCACTCCAGGGTGACTGAGGTCAGAACAGTGATTACCCTGGGTGGGACTGGGTACTGGGGGATCAGGGGCAGGCGAGCCCTTCCAGTGGGAGTGAGAATACTCCCTATGATGACTTGGGTGGTGGTCACACCTGGGTGGACATATGAAGAAGTCGCTGAGTTACACACTTAAGATTGGTGCACATTGTTATATATAAAATCAGATCCCAATAAAGGACTGTTACAAAGAGAAGTGACCCGGAGGTGACAACGGGGAGGGTGTGGCTTGCCTTACTTGCCAGCTTGGAGATGCTTCTGCCTTGGGGACATCCCAGCTCTCAGCCCTGTGCTTGTCTTCCTGAACAGTCGGAAGAGGATATCCACGTCGCAGCTCTTGGCAAGCCGCAGCCTGAGAATATCTCGAACCCCATGTATGAGAGCGCAACCTCAGCTCCCTCCGACCCTTCCTACAACTCCGTCTCGGTGAGTTTGTATTTTTATCTGCGAACAGGCTCAGTCTGGGTGCAGGGGAATGAAGTCTTTCAGCAAATCACGGTGGAAAGATTCACACCAAGGAAAGCTCACTTCCAGAACAAGCCCCAAAGGTGGGGCACTGCAAGCTGAGGGAAGTGATTCTTCAGTGCCCCTGGGTTCTTTGGGGTGGAGGACAGAAGCCTCCAACAATTAGAGGCAGTAAGGGAGAACCAGAGGTTGCCCACCTCAACCTCATGACCAGTGAGCGGTGAGATGTCACAAGCAGAAATCCGAGCGGAATTCTAACACGAACATTTATGAGGTAGCTGGTTCAAAGAAAGACCTCAGAATGTAAAAGGGTATTTTCCTTCAGTTATACTTTATACTTACATTGCTGTTCATGATTGTCCTGCCTGTTGTCAGAGCCACTTCTTGTTTTGGAGCTGCATTTCCTTGGTTAGGTCCTAGTTTTACCCAGGAGTGCACATTCTGCTGGTCTTCCAGGAAAGGACCATTTTTTTCTAGATTAGTGATCCTTGAGCTTATTTAGATAGGGTCTCCAGTGACTTCAGTGAGGGGGACCCCATGGCAGGCTGCCCTGTTCACAAGGAATGTGGAAGGTACACCCGGCCTGTAGTCTCCTACCAGATCTGGACTGAGAAGCTAAGGATAAAACTTAATTGTTCCTTTTACATAAGCTAAGAAAAAATTGATAGTGTGCTGAGCATCTTTCTGTCCCTCAGCGAGCCGATGGCATTACTCAGATCCAGGGAACTAACTTGAATCTTAGCTGCTGATCTCGACCCCTTGAGCAACAGTAGCCCAAGCCAGGGAGCTGTTCTAATTGTTTTGTGCGTGTATTTATGCTGTTCCTCCAGGACTACACATAGTTGTTGACTTGCTGGAAGTTGGCACCAAAACATTAAAAAAAAAAAAACATTTTATTGCCCTACTTTTAAGCTTGTATATTACAATAGATGTTATTCTTCTGCAGTGAACCTAACATAAATATGTTGTGTTCTTATGCCCATGGTAGCAGATTTATTTGCCATAGATTAAAAAATGACCGGATCATAAATCCTATTTAGTTTTTTAATCAAATGCATGCAAAATTTTGTCATCCTTACTGCAAGGGTAAGTTCAGCTAATTTGTGTTTATTAATGAATAATTGATTTCTGTAGGCATTGTTATGTTAAAATCAACATCATTTCAAAGCAAGGGGAAAAGGTTATACACTCTCTGTGGCTTTTCAGCTGTCTGTCCTTCAGCTGTCTGCACCATGCATGATTTACCAGAGGCAGGAGAGTACCCTAGATGCAGAAGTCAGCTAAACCTTTCTAATCAGACCAGGTGGCAAAAATGTCCCAATAACAGGACCCTAAGCCTAGGATATCATCCCAAAAAGTGATGTGCTATATCCCGAACCATTTACATTGAAGGGTGGGGGAAGTGCCTATTCACTATTTGTAGCCTATCCAGATATCTTGAACACATCCATTATGCTAATTAACAAAGCTTCCGTGCAGATCAGAGCTAAAGACAGCAGAAGGCTTGGGGCAGCTGCCTATGGCTTCTCATTAGACTTTCAGATGCTCAAGAGCCACCTGTGGTTCAAGATGAATTTTCAGCCTGAAAAGAGTTTTGTAATCCTATTTATAGCCACCTTTTGCGGAGTGCTTATACCTTCCTGAATGTAGTACCTACCTTAATTTTCACGCGTTCCCATGAGGTAGGTATTACTATGACCCTTTTTAGATGAGCAAACCATAGCAGAGTGGAAATGATGTACACAGGACACACAAGCCTCAGGCAATAGCGATTATTCTCCGGAGCAGGGGCGCTGGCTGCCATGAGACCCTACCTCCCAGCAAAAGCCAGCAGCATGGACAAACGCTCCCACCGCACCTGTGTGCAGCAGGCCCCGGAGGAAGAATCGTGTTTTAGGCTGGAGGGAAGGAAAAAGTTTTCAGTCCTCTTAAGAGTCCCTGGCTGGGTCTGAAAAGTAAACTGACAAAGACAGATTCACAGGAGAAATGCGTACAAATTTGACTGAGTATTTACGTGCACCTGGGAGCCTTCACAAGCAAATGGGGACCCAAAGAAGTGGCCAGGGCAGGAAGCATCACACCTTTAAGACAAAGAAACAGTACATTTGTCAAGAACTGACAAGACTAGAGGTTTGGGCGAGGGGTAATAAGTGGTGAAGAGGTAACTAGGCAGAGAAGGGTTAATTTAACAGCCTTGCTTTGTGCAGGTTTCCTGGCCCTGAATGCCTCCTCTTGGGTGATAAGACTGTCTTCTTTCCTCTGGCCCCGGGAGGGCACCTTTCACCAAAGAACTGTATGACCCATTTCAGGGAAGAAGGGCAAAGCAGGGGAGGTCAGAGTGACCTGCCTGCTTCTGCTGTTCCTTAAAAATGTCATCAGCTTAAGAGATTTAATATACCAATGTGCCATATTTTAGGGTAGAGTGTCCTGAACCCTTCAAGGCCTCAGTCCAGTGGCCAAAAGAAACACTCAACCTGGGAGGAGTCCACAGGCAGAAGGCCCGGAGCCCTCTCTGGAGTGTTCCTTGGACCTCTCTTTTCCAGGACTCCGAAGACCAGCTGGAGATCAGTGACCCCCTGGGGGCGCTGTGAGGTCCAGACCTGCTGCAGCCGGCCACCGCTCACGGCCACGGCCACGGAGCCTCCTCAGAAAGGCTGTCAACTGTGAATCCTCAGCACCAGTTGCCTTTTGGGAATGTAAGGTCCTCCAACATTTTAAAGTCTGGAAGCACTCAAGCTGTGTACCTCATCTCTGGGTAATCTGGGGACTTCCTTTGTTTCTGTGGGTGAGGGACCGTGTTAAGTCCACCTACCAACCCAGGGGGACTTCTCCCTTGTCTGACCCTCCGCTGTCCTTCCTTCGTACCGTCAGATAACACGTATTACATTCTACCCAACACTGTAGTAACTGTGACCTCATTTCCCTGTTAGACTGTAAGCTCCCAGGGCAGGCACTGCCTTATTCATCTTTGTATCACAGTACCTGGCACAGTGTCTAGCACATGAAACGTGCTCAATAAATGTTTATGGAACAGAAATAAAGTCAACAGAATAAATCTAGTGTTTTGGGAAACAAAAATACTGTTTGTCACAGACCAGGTCAAACTTTGAATATAAAATCCACTTATCAAGGCCAATTAGGGCCTTTTCAGAGAGCCAACATCTGCCTTATAATTCTTCTTTCGTAATTGTTTTGCTTGTTTAGATGTTTAAGAAGATATGACAGCTACTATGAGATGTCACTTTGTACCCAGGAGGATGGCCGTAATCCAAAAGACAGATAATCACAAGTATTACAGAAACAGTCAGAACCCTCAGACACTGCTGGTGGGAATGTAAAATGGGGCGGCCACTGCATACAAGTTTGGGATTCTTCAAAAAGTTAAACATGGAGTTCCCATATGATCCAAAAATTCTACTCCTAAGCATACAGCCAAGAGAAATAAAACCTGTCCACATAAAAACTTAATAGATGTTCATAGTAGCATTATTCATACTAGCCAGAAAGTAGAAACTCAAATGCCCATCAACCTCTGAATGGATAACCAAATTATGGTACATCCATCCATCCAATGAAATGTCCTCCCGCCCTAAAAGGGAACTAAGTACTGACACATGCTACAACATGATGAACCTGGAGTGAAAGAAGCCTGCCACAAAAGACCACATATTTTATTATTTCATTTATGTGAAATTTCCAGAACAGGCACATTAATAGAGTCAGACAGTAAATTGGTGGTTGCCGGGGACTTTGGAGAGGAATGGGATTAACTGCTAAGAGGTATGAGGTTTCTTTCTGGGGATGATAAAAATCTAGAATTTTACAGCGGTGGTGTGTAGGCTTGAGACAGTTCTTCTGTGTGCAGGGCTCTCCCATACAGTGCAAGATGTCTACCAACCAGGTCCCTGTCATCAGAAAGCCAGCAGTGCCCTCCCCATCACTTGACAACCAAGCACGTTCTAACCCACCCACCCCACTTTTCCAAACTGCCCCTGGCAGGTAGTACTGGGCAGGCTTGGGAACCAGCTGGGGACAGAGAAGTGAAAGGCTGGGCAAATCAGGTCTCCTACTCTGCTTCCTGGTGCCCTCATGGCCCAAATAATTTTGTTCCACATTACCAGGGCTTCTGCTGCATCAAGTCCAAAATTCTGGAAGCCCCAGAACGTCATGTAAGCTTTTTCACAACTCCAAGACAGGGAAGAAGTCCCAGTTTCAGGCAAAGGAACAGTACATCAGCTTCTCTAGGGTGACATGCCATGATGGGAACAATGCCGCATTTCCAGGAAATCCCTCCCGGAAAAAATGTGGACCAGATCCCTAGTGAGTCCACCAACACCACCATCACAACCACAAATAGGCAAGTGACTAACAGGAAAAACAGCAGGCCGTCCATGGAGTCATGGGAAGAGTGCACAAGACTCAGGCCCTGGTACAATGAAAGTCGAGGATATTTAGGTATTTAAATTTAACAGCTCAAGGGTGTTTAAATGCACACATGCATGCACATACACACACACACACCACACACACTTACATAGTTTAAAAAAACAAACAAGGTCTTCAAAATATTTATCCAAAACCCAGTTGTGATTTGACTACATGTCATTCTCTCCTAATTGAGTACTATTCAGTATTTTCTTCCCTTGTAACACTGCTTCCAGTTTCCAGCTTCCCTGGTAATTTGCAGACAAACATGTGGATCACCAGCTTCCTGTTTGCAAGGAGGGACTGTCTGTCAGAGAATGAAATTCCACATGGGTTACCCGCTGCCCACCTAAGGCACGTTCACACCAATTTTCCACCTGTGTCTTAATGACACAGCCTTCAACTCTGAAAACAAGTGAGAGTGCATGGCTGGGGTGACGGGCCAAGGGGAGAGAGGAACGCACCCCACATCTGCCACTCCTCGCACGGATGTACTTTCTTAGATACATTAGAATTTGCTATGGCTTTGCCACTAACGTAAGCCCACAAAAAAACAGACCTACAGTAAACTAGACAATGCAATTCAAACTTTTATTTGGCAATGAGTTCAATATCATATAACATAAAATTAACATTTACAATAAATGGCAAATTCACATTCAGAATAAATAATGAACCTGCATGCTTTGCATTTTTTGTGCCTCCCATCAGAGAGGCACAATCTGTCATTCTATTAAATAATCAGAACCCAGTTTCCTAAGTCAGAGTTGAAGCCTGCAAGACTCAAAAAAGTGAGAAGCACTGTTGCAGGCTGTGCTCCTGGGAAGCAGATGCAAGATGGGCAGCCCCATGCAGGCCATTTAAGGAAAGTGTTCATGCGATCAACATCTGGGATGGAAGGAGAGAAACGCAAAAGGAAGGAAGCAGGGCTGGCAGGCAGGAGTGGGGTGGCAGTGCAGACACAGAGAGGTCCCAGGGGGCCAGGCAGGGGGTGCTCCAGGAGGGAGCGTGACCTCATCCAAGGCAGGGCTTCTCTGAAGGGGAATCTCCCAGAGGATTGACAGTAAGACTGTGGCTCGCCCTGCAGCTGGGAGAATAAACCCTCGATCCCAAAGGATATTCTGGGCAGCCAAGCGCATCCTTCCCACTAGTGGCACAATCACAGCCTAGGGCAACAAGAGGTACATTCACCAGTGCCTGAGCCTGACAGCTGTGTCACACACAACAGTTATGCCAGGTTCTGGAAACACAGTACTTGACTACTGACCATATAAATAAATAGGCCCAGAGAAGAGTTCATTCTTGGGGGAACATTCTTACAGGAATATGGTGCTCGTACCTATGGGACTGCCTTCTGCTAGTTGCACACACTAGAAACTTGTCCCCCTGCATGCATTCAAAGATACCAACACAACCCATTACAGAAGGGGCCAGCATACTATGGCCCAAAGGCCAAATCCAGGCCACAGACTGCTTTTTGTAAATCAAGCTGTAATGGAACATAGCCGTGCCCATTCCGAGCAGTGGTGACAGAAAGTGACCTGCAAAGCCCAGAGTATTTACTCTCTGGCCCTTTACAGAAAAAGTTTGGGGAACCCTTCATTAGAGAAACTTCATTTCCTTTCCTTTCCTTAAACCACTAGGGTTGGTTAAGGGTTGGCTGAACTTGGAGCCAAGCTCTCAAATGCTAATGAAAGAAAAAAAAAAGGAAATCAGTATTAAGAAGGCAAAACATAGGCTCTCTAAGTAGTTGAATAGAGCAATCAAGGAACCCTGCCTCTAGCCAAATTTAGTCTTAGAGCATTCTAGACAAGGATCCCCAAGTGGGTCTTTGGCAACAAATGAGCATTTGGCATAGTGGAATCCAATTCCAATATTTAGCACACTCAACTGCTTCAAAAGCCTTTTGGGAGGAAGAGGGAGGGAAAGCCATTTGGTTCGCCCAAACTAAATTAGCTAGGAAGAAAGATTACTTTTCATTTCTCCTTTGCAATAATCCAATGCATCAAAGCAACTAGTAATTTAGTCTGAGATGAACCAAATCAGTAACAGGTGGTTTATGTTTACATGGCATTTAATGGTACAGCAAAAAAATGGAGCTGAAGAGAATTTTTTTTAAAAGAGGCTGTTAGGAGGAAAGTGGGAGCTCTACAACAAACTCCTAAAATACTTTAAAAGCCAAGTTTCCTTTATAAAAGCCACTCTGGAAAAACCAGTTATGCAGGTCCCCTCCCAGGCAACCTGCTACAGGTACCAGGAGCCTGGCTGAACTGTCACCTGCTGGCATGGACTGCCCGGAACTATGAATTTTTGTTCACAAAGTTTTTACAAAGTCATTCTAACCAAGACTAAAAACAGAAAATATTATTCAATGTGCAAACTAATTTTATTCTGGTTGCTTTCCAAATTGATTTTTAAATGGGAGAAAGTAGGCTCACGTCCCTTGTCCCAATATGCTTTCATTCATGTGCACACCAGAGAACGGGAAGGAAGAGAACGCACGGTGCGGTGAGTCAAATCCCAGTTGAGCTGTGACAGTGACAAGTTAAAATCTACCTTGACTGAGCACAGACGAAGACAATGCCTTTGTCCCTCATATGGAAATGGCTGTCCTGACACTTGGCGGCCCTGCTAGGACAGATGCCAGACTTCTGCCACGTGGTAGATCTCACATGAACTGCCATGTTCAACAGCATTGAGAATGAAACCCTAATTAGTAATAAGTTGCAAAATTCACTATTCATACCCAGAAAATGTATTTCTGCCCCAAAGGCTTGGGTCACCTAACTTGGACAGCCATGCAAACGTGTTTTAAAAATAGTTTTATCTCATTCTGGAGTAAACCAAACAACCTGTAAGCTAGCACCAAGGAGACAGCCAATGAATATCTAGATGACTCAATAAAAACAAAGAAAAAATTTTTCAGCAATACCTACTCCCTCAACTCAGCTTCTCCCAGCAGAAACCATGAGCCAGGAGTGCCAGCACATCCTTTAAAGACCTTAACACCAAGCAGATCTGGCCAGCCCCCTGCACCCGCTAAGCACCAGTCTCCCCGCCCATACACTCTGGTGCTTAAAACACACAGGAGCTAACAAACAGCAAACCATATGCCTACCCCATTCTGAAAAAGAAATGGAGTCCTGTGTTTATAACAATATTCAGAAGGGTAAAAGAGGGCCTGATTGGGTCTGCTGGGTCTAAAGGGCCACCTTCGTATAGTAAAATACAACAAAAAATCCCCTTACAAGCGGCATTACAAAGGATGCTACATTGCACCTTTAAGTTGTGCGTTTTGGCAGGTAGCCTACGGAATGTCAAGCTAGCATTTCATCAGTACCTGGTTCTGAAAAACTTCTTAAAATAAAATGCTAAATAAGCAAGCACTCTCCACAAGCTTCCTTCCCATGTCCGCCATTCTTCAGGCTTAAGGATTTATGTCACTTGCATTGTCCTAGGAAACAAGAATACTCGGTTACCTGGATCATTCTTTTTCTCTTAGCTTCCGTGCCCTTTATCCTCTCCCATCTTAAAGACACCCAAAGAAGACCACCCCAACTTCCAGCCTAACTGCCACATGAACATGGCAGGGAAGGCGTCCCAGGGGAGGCGAGGACTGGAGAGGGCTGAGCAGGGAGGCTCCGCCTCCCCCAGTGCTGAATTCAGCACCTCCCCTCCGCTGACAATCCACCAGAGGCAGGCACCTGCAAGTCACCCTCCACACAAGGACAGCTACCGGAAATGTGTATGTTTCCATGAGACACCAACACAACCTAGCAGGGCTCATGGCATAGCATCTCTTTATAAGGAAATTATTTTTCCTGTTTCATTATCTTCTGCCACGTAGCACACTTAACCAACACCTAGATGGCATGTTCAGGTGTAATGAATGAACTCCTGGGAGACCCACCACAAAGGTTCTTCTGACCTGCCCATTTCTCACAGCCCTATTGTGCAGTCTGTTCTGCTAGCTGGAAATTTAACCACAGCTCTTCTCTCCTCGCCCTGCTCCTCTGGGGAAGGAGTGAACCCGCCCATCACTTGTGGTTCATTTGTCTTCCTCAGCAGGGGGTAGTATGCACAGGAAGGGGACACTGCGGCCAACCAAGGACTTGAACTTCTCTGGTTCCTTCTCACATAAGACTTTCCAGGGAGGCTGTCTTCTTCCAAGTGATGCCCCAGAATGCCAAAGCCCGGGTACCAAAGGATCTGGGAGTGGGCTGCTCCTGGGGGATCATCTCTGCTACTGACGGTCATGTCACACTGCTGGAGAGCTCACTAACTCCGGCGGCTTTTCACTAGCAGTTATTGCTGAGTAACATATGCCCCTGCTGTTCCCAGTGCATGCCTGTGGCTGCTCAGCACATTCTCCATGAAGAGTCGAGTTTCAGGGCTTCACCTGCTGGCTACAAACATGGCACAACAAGTCTCACTTACCCAAGAAAACTGGCCCCAGTTACAGTACCTGGGTAAACAAAAAGCCTAATCAAGGTGTCAGATGAAGTTGGTCATTCAACCCAACAGTGCAGGAAACATGAAGGCAGGACTGGTGGGCTGCTAGCTTCTGTCCCAACAACCTGGGGAGTATTCTCCACAAGGTACAAACAAGTATCAAAAGGCATGTTTGCATCTCCTCCAAAAGCAACATGCACGTCCACACAAAGCCAAGCCCACCACGTCCACCCACGCAGGAGCCATCACTGTTGCTGATGTCTTCCTCAGGCAGGTACCTGGTTATTTGGCCTGGACCTCCTGCAGGAGAGGGAGTCGGAAGGTGGGGGGCCGGTCAGCCCATGCGGGAAGCTCATGCTGCAGTGGAGTCCTCCTGGGGTAGAACGTGTGGCTGACATCATAGTTCAGGAGGCAGCTCAGGGACGCCATATAGATGTCAGCAAATCGTGACAGGCGCCTCAGGAAGTAGGTGGGGTTCTGGTCTGTGCGGAACAAGCTTCCAAACTGGGCGTTGAAGAAATTTTTGGTCATTTCTCTGAAGAAGCAAGAAAAGAGCAAAACAACAGAGAATGATTCGTAGAAGTCTGTTTTTAAGTTACTGAAATCAGTATCACTTAATTTGTATAGAACTCCTTGGAGAGGGAAATTAGCCAAAGGCAGCCCCAACTGTGATCACATTTTTCACAAGGCCACCAGAGAGAACAGTGCTCAAGGCCCCAGTTTCAATGTGCAAAGCCTCTTAATATAAGCACTCCATTTTCCAAACCAAAGCAGGGGATGCAGGAGCTGCTCTGAAGGTACACAGAGAGTTAGGAAATGTGTTCGGTCTCCAAATTTCCCTCTTCCACAGAATGGGATAAAGACCTCCTTGTTATAAGGCTACAATGAGAACTGAGTGAGGTAATAATAAAAGCTTATTATAAACTCCAATGCACTTGGGTATCTGAGAAATCAAGGATTATTTAAGTGATGTAAATAAATCTCCACTATCCATTATACACATCAACACCTCACAGCCTAGGCTACAGCATTTTGCAAGGCTGCTCACCCCACCCCAGGCTCTAAGCCTGCTATAGATGCACATATATATATGTGCATCTGTGTGGAAATCAACACCCCATCAGTCAGACACACACACACACACACACACAGGATATGCACACCATCTGATGGCTGGGCCCCCTACAAACAGAATATTCCAGCAAAATGGATAAATACCATTTGGCTGTTAATAAATCGCTTACAAACAGAGCAAAAAATAAAACCATTTACACAACTATGTGATAAAAGCCACTCGGCAATAGTATCTGTTGTCACCTGGTGACAGGAGAGGCTGTGACAGCCAAAATGTAGAAATTAAAAGAACTCAATTAGATTTGCAGGTGGAGCAACATAATTGGTTTTTAAACTTTTGGTGAAAAATCACGTTGAGATGTGATGCTGTTAGAGACTCAAATTCAAAACAAAATAAAATCTCAGTTCCTTTATCTGGTAGTTTGAGACTCCTAGAGTATAGGCCCCACAAATCATACGATATGCCTTCCTCCCATGACCCCACCACCCAACATTTTTATACCAATGTTAGAATAATCATGTTAGAATAATCTCCTGACAACCGACACCCTGAGCTGCTAACAGCTGTGGCTTCTGCAGCCCCAAGGGATGGACTCTGTCCCCTCCCCACATCCCTCTCCCCCACTCACACTATTCAGGGCTCACAGGCCAGAACCCGGTGGTGATGCTACCCACTGTGCCCAGCAGATGGAAAGGCCAAGCACAAGAGCAGGGCTGGTCACATAAGCCACGTCCACACATACAGCCTCCTTCGGAGAGAAGCACAACTGTCCACAAGGCCTTTTAAACAACTGTTCCCTTATGACACACCCCCATCCCAAACTTGACAGAAGGCACGCTTCCTCCACCATGAACACTCTGGTACCCAGAGCCTGCACACTCCTGGAACAGCCGCAGTTACCAAGACGCACCCAGGGGTCGGAGCCTGAGGAATTCACTGTGGTTCAGAGCCCACCTCCAACACTGCCCAGCAGCCACACTGTCCTGCCCGCATGACCGACAACCATGCCACCAGTGGCCCAAATGGGAAAGCATGGCAGGCAGGGAGGAGGGATGGGAAGGAAAAGTCCCTTCCACTGTGGCCTTCAAGTGCAAGGTGGGAGGTGCCAGGGAGGTCACTGCTGCCTCAAGGAAATGTCACATGTCACTAACAGCAGAAGGCTGCCTCTGGACACCAGGGGGTCACAGTCATCCCCGGGAGCTAAAGAAGGATGTATGCCCCGGCACCCTCGGGAGATGTGTGGGTGCAGACACGTGGTGGGTGCATGCATTCAAAACAGGGGCTCTTACCTCATCTCCTTCCTTTCTTTCTTCCACTCCTGCAAAACCAGCTGTGACTCGGCATCTCTGTGAACCTGCAGGATACAAGCTCACTGCTGAGAATGTGCTGACTGCACATAACCTCACCAGGTAATGAGAACTTTTTAATGTGCAACTTTTCTTGGAAGAATTGTATTCCTTTGAGTCTAAGACGCAGGCACTTGCAAGGAATCATACATTTTCAGATTCCCAGGAGCAAGCCTGCCTTCTTCACTAAAATAAAATAGTTTTAATGTCTAACATCAGAAACCTGTTTTAACAAATCACAACGGAATATTATGAAGCTACTAAATAGGCCCCTATTAAACTAGAGCTGTGAAAGTACTATTAAAAGTTATGTAGAAACATAATGCATACATATTCACATAAAATACATGTATATAGCTGTGTGATATATCCATGACATACATATTACACATATAAACATTTTATATATACTACTTATTACACATATTATATGTATATAAATACATGTATAAACATAAAAATGGCAGTAAAATGGAAATAGTAGGTCCACTAATTGCAAGCATATAAAAATATGTGCATACGTATGGGAATTTTTCTTTAATTTGTGCAAGGGTAGTAGGATTATAAATGGTTTTAATTTTTTCATTAATATTATATTGCCTTTTAAAGTGCTTATGGGAGAAAAAAAATAATTGTTTTTGTAAAAGATAGGAAGGCAGAGAATGTCAACCAGATGGAAAAGCAGAGAATTTTCCGGTTGGGCTGAAATGTGAGCAAAAGGCAAAAAAGAAAATGACAACTGACCCCAACCTAACAAATGGACCAACAAGTCTCTCTCCAAGGCCTCTGTTACTAAATAGAAACACTCAAACCCGACGCAGAGGCACACGTGATGGCAGAGCCCAGGGGGCACTCACTCCCCGCAATTCCTGATCACACATGGGCAGCCTTACAACCCAGAGGAAAATACCAAACAAGCAAACCATCCACTTGTGACATGGGAATCCAGGCCCTTCTGTTTCTCAAAGCTGCCAAACACAACAGCTGGACTAGCAGTCACCCACTAAGGGCCTCTGCCACTCAGGCAAAACCCTGTAAGGACCGGCTTACAATCTGGATTCCTGGCCCCACAGCACTGCCACACTCCCAGGAAGCAGCTGCCACGGAGGGACCACTGGCTGTGTGTCACTGAAGCATAGGAAGAATGGTGCGGCACATCTGGGCGCACTGACGTAGGTTCTGAGAGCATAGTTTTTAATGAGCTTTCACATTTCATTCAACAAATTACTTGCCATAGAGTTTAGGCTCTCTACAAAGTATGTGTCTAGATCAGAAAAGGTAAAATCTGTAGGGTGCCACAGTGAATTCTTACATACATGCACATATGCACATGTGTGTGCAGACACATTATATATATTCAGCACTTACTATGTGCCAGGCCTGTGGAAGATGCTAAGATTCAAGAGAGGACCAGATGGAGGCCCTTGTTGGGGGCACAGCCATAGACAGACCACGACAAAGCACAGAATGAGGGGTCGGTCTGTGAGAGGGAATCCCCCTCCCACCCTTCGTGGCCCATAAACTAGCACCTGTGCCCTGGCCTAAGGATGAGGGAGAAACTTCCAGCCCCTTACTCCACCCAATACATGCAGGAGGGGAGAATCCTGACTAGAATAAGGATTACCAAAGTTAATCAATTTGCACTATCTTTTTTGAAACTAGCTGCCACAGGGCATGTGAACCCTCCTCTGTACTCCTGCCCCTCGGGAGGCCCCTACCCTGGGCTCTGCGCCCAAGAAGGACCAAACTGGGTCTCCAAATTCAAGGCACGTCCTCCGGCCGGCATTTCCAGGCTGGAACACATACTGAGAGCCCCACTGTGCCCTCCTGGGAACTTCATCATTTATCATCTCTCCCATATGTTCAACCTCCTTGCCTGGCTCCTTCCTGTCAGCATTTAAACATGGGTCAAGTCTTTCCCATTAAAAAAAACAAAAAAACTATTTTTCCTTGAGCCACCCCTTTCTCCAGCTCTGTTCTCCCTAGAAGGCCAAACTTCGTAAAACAACAGTCTCGGGTATCTGAGGTCTATTTTAAACTACTGCAAAGACAGGGTGTTAATTATTTATGTTAATTTAATCTTTAAGTGAAACCTTGCACTCCACAACTCCACAAGGAGTAGTTAACATCAGAAAAGAGTAACCTGAAGCCCAGAGATTGATCCCACAGCCTCAGGCATCTTTGCGGCCAGTCACTAATTAGAAAAATCGGCTCTTCATGAGCAAAAATGCAGATTAGCTATATATACCCCGCTGGCCCTCCCACCAGCATGAGCAGTGGCTACAGTCCAACCAGGCCCACAGCCTATATACCAACAGGGAGGCCAAAGCCAACCCACTGCCAATTTTTCTAGCAGCTTAAGAGCTTAAGAATGGGTTTTTCTTTTTAAACAGTAGGGAAAAGAATACAGAAGAACAATTTCATGACACGTGAAAATATGAAATTCAAATTTCAGTGTCCACTCATAAAATTATAGGGACACAATTACAACCAGTCATTTACACATCGTCTATGGCTGCTTTTTTGTGCTACAAGCCCAGAGCTGAGAAGCTGTGTCAGACACTATATGGCCCACGCAGCCTACTGTCTGGCCCTGTGCGGAAATCTGCAGACCCCTGGGGCTGAAGGTGGCTTTGACATGGTAACCTGGGAAGGCTCTACCACCACTAACCACGACCACTGGAGAGTATACTTCGAGGCCACTTATCAAAATTATCTTTATTCTTTACAGCTACTTTTTTAAAGGCAAAAATTATTTCATTCATTATTTAACTCATGTATTTACTTATTCAAATAAATAATTGTACTCAATTCATCAGACTTGACTCCAAATGACACTCTGCTGGCTCCAAAAGAAAATCAAACATGACCTCAGAGGACAAATTGTTCTCAGAAAATAGTCCAAATGATGTACTACGTGCTCTGAAAATCATCCCCAAAGGGGAGTTTCTAGAAACATCAGACACAGGATTGCTGGAATAATTTATAGCTTTTCAGGTGAACAGGGGCGGGACAAGAGGAGGAATGGCAGGGGAACAGGCAGGACAGGGAGACGCGACATTCATTTGGTAAAGCCGCACTCCTCTCCACCCCAGTGCCTCAGACAGAGGCTGTGAAATGTGTTAGGGCCTGAGGCAGCGGAGCAGGGGCTGCCTGGCTCTGAGTCCCAGCTCCAGCCCTTACTGGAGCGGGTTATTTTCTCCTCTGTGCCTCACATTCTTCATCTGTAAAACTGGGAGGGGAGGAGGGGGGGATGTCAGCACTGACTTTAATGAGTTGTGAGCAGGAAATCAATCTTAAGTCCTTAGCATCCAGAACCCGGTGTCTAGAACATTTCTAAATAGGTTGGTTCTGCTGTTCACTAACTTTGGGATTCTGGATGAGTTACTTATCTCTCAGCCTGTTTCCTCTCTCATAAAATGCAGATGGCAATGAAATGTTAATTCCCTTTCCTCCCTTCCCTAGCTTTATGTCTTCTATAATTACTTCTGTAAGTCGCAGAAATATTTTCAGCACTTCCATTCTCTAAAACACACACTCCTTCATCAAGTGTTTAATAGGTCAGAGAGAGGAAAACTAGAAAACTGTCCTCAGAGCTAAAATGCAGCGACACCACCTGCATACAGGCTGTGCTGTGTCCCTGGCCTGCTGCCAGCATCACAGTGACTGCACCGAAGGTAAGGCGTCTTCAGCTGCACCTGAGACCTCTGACCAGACAGCAGGGAAGAACTTGAACGTAAAGCTCAGAAGCACGGACTTGGCATCACACAAGCCTAGGTTCAAGTTTGTGCTTTGTCATTTTATGACCTCCGACATGTTATCTAACCTTTTGAATACCCAGTTTCCTTATTCTAAAGTGGAAAAACTGTACCCACCTGCAAAGGTCATCTGGGACTATTAATGAGTAACGTGTGTAGGGCAAGCACACAGCATGTCTGTCATATAGAAAGCACTTACTGCTGCATGACCAAGGCACAGAAGCTACACTAACCCAGAATCGCTGCCTTTTATTTTTGGAAAGTCATCTCATGAACAAGCAGAGTAAGGGAAATAGAACAAGTCCTTGTCAGAGACAAGCCAAGAGCCAGTGCAGCTGGAGCACCCTGGAGGCAAGGCCTGAGGGACGTGCAGGGCCCCACGCTCTGGAATGTGTGCACCTAGAGCGAGGACCTGGCCAGCCGCCCCTCACAGCTCTGCCTGAGCTCACCGCCAGCTGCCTCCGCATGGACTGCCAGCTGGGCCAGGCCAGGCAGTTCCCTGCCCATTCCCAAAGCAGGCTGGCAGGCTATAGGCAGCAGGCCATGGCCAGAGGCTGCAGGTGTGTTAGCCCATATAGCAGGCACCCTGTCCCTTGTCCTAACAGAGTTGGCACTCACATGGAGGTGGCTTCAGGGCAGCTGAGCTAAATGAGAAAGCAAGGTGCCTCATGAGGCGGGGAAGGCAGTCACAGCTGTAAACGAGGGGCAGATTCCAGGGGCCAGGAAGCCACCACAAAGTACAATATGCCTCACTAACTGTCCAAACTGGCTACATAACTTACAGAAAGAAAAACTGCCACTGAACTCCAGAGGGCTAGCAAACTGTAGGTATTATCTTCAGGTTCACATGGAGGCTGTAGGCAGGGATTTCAGCTCATGCTTTGAGACACTTCCCAGTAAGCCACACGGCCGAGAGGAAGGTCCATTCCATAGGACCTTTCCTTTTACAGATGGGGAGACTGAGGCCCAGGATGGTGAAGTCCCACAGCAGGCTAACAGCAGAAGCAGGACTTGACCCAAAGACTGGAGGAGGTTCTCAAATCCTGCAAGACATCTCCAATAGAGCTTTAGTGGGGAAGTGAAGGTACTTGATTTCCTCCGACAGAGGAGTGCAAACGTACGTCTGTGTTTATACAGGCCCCACAGAGCTTTCTCCAGAGGGCTTTAGGGGGTATCTTTAAAGTTCTTTTCAGAGTAATTGGCAAAACTCTCTTAGGGGCAAAATAACTCTAGTAGTTATTTTGCAAGATGACTTAATGCTTCATACATTATAACCATAATTAGACAGAAAATACCTGGAGTAATTTTGACCAGAGGACTAACTTCAGGCTTAAAGAAAAAGTAGGAGAGAAAAATAATCCCAAACCTGCATCTGTTCCAATAACCCGGTCAGGGTCTGCAGCCAGGTCATGGTTTGAATGTACTGCTCCGTGTTCATGATTTTGAGCTCAGATCTTAACTCTGGAATAATTGCGCCAGTTCGCCAGCCATGCTTCAGGGTCAAATCCTGATGGTAAAGATCACAAAAGCCAACATTAACCTCCACAGAATTTAAACCATTTCATCACCTTTCCCAGATACAACAGCCATTCACTGAATTACTTCTTAATTGTAATGGTTAGTGATTAACCAAGCCAAACTCAATGAATTACATTTAATTGAAGCCAATTTAGCCCCAGGCTTTGACCACTTCACCCCAAGAAAAGTTTCTGTTCCGGAAGTCATTGCTGTGACTCACAGTCCCCCGCAGAAACACAGGGTCTGGAATCATTAACCATGGTTTCTAAAACAACAATTAGGTCAGGGGCAGAGAGAGGCTCAACCAAAATTCTACTGAAGCTCTTTCAATTTATCTGGAGACCACCGGGCGGCCCCCGCTGTGGCCAGGCCTTGTGGGTTATGGGGAGCCATGGCATCTCAGACTTGGAATCATCACACGACATAAACATGACCACACTTTCCATTCTAAATGTTGTGACCCCATGATCTGACCCCAGAATATCTGATAATAGTCCTGGCCCAGCAAATGTAAGATACATAATCACCATACTAAATGGTCTTTCATTTTCTCATTTGACAGGTATTTAATCAAATAACTACCATTTGCCAGGCCCTATTCTAGACACTGAGGCTAAAACAATGAACAAACACTGACAAACCGCTGCCCTCATGGAAAATACAGACAAAAAAAATGAGTAAAAACACAATGGCAGATGGTAATAAATACAATGGACAAAAATCAACCAAACTAGAAGGGAAAGGAGTTATCATTTTATACAGAGGGGTTAGGAAGTCCAGGCTCAGAAAGGGACATTTGAGCAGAGATCTGAAGGGAAGGACAGAGAAAGCAAATACATGGGAGGAGAAAAATTTGGCTTGCAAACAGCAAGAGTAAAGGCGTTGGAACAGGAATGTTGAGGCAGGGATGTTAAGGAACAGCAAGGCAGAGATCCTGGAGCAGAGTAAGAGAGGACAGAGGCAGGATATGACTTCAGGGAGGTTGGCTGCACAAGGAGAGACCAAGCAGGGCCTTCTGGGCAACCGCAGGAAATAAGGGCTTTACTCTAAGGGAGAAAGGAAAGCTGTGGGGCTTTAAGGAGAGAAGTAGTATATGGTTTACAACTTTAAATGTTCACTCTAGTTACTCACCTAACACTAGAACCTCTGCTCTGTGAGTCCTAAGGATGCCTACCTTCTTCACTAGTTGAATTTCTTTAACTTTTTCAATATTTCTCTTTGTCCCAAAATATATGAAAACCTACAGCACATTCTTTTAAATATCTCCAATGGTGGCAAACTTTTGAAGGTGGATTTTATTTCTGAAAATAGGTAAAAAGTCATTTGCAACATCCCTACGACTAAAGTACATGACAATAAATTAATGATGATAAACTAATTTCCTTTTATGTCTCAAACTCTCTCTCAAATCTATCCCAAAGGGGGAATCAAAATGTATTTTGAGGAACAGCAGCAACACTGGAAGCATCTCCATTCCCAAGGGCACTCCTTCAAAGGGTAATGTTCATTGCCCACATAATTTCTGACATGTTAGCTAATGAATTGGTCTTATCACTTCATAACAGTGGTTTTCAAACTTTAGCATGGGATCTAACTATATGTTGTCTACAAGAGGTGCATTTTCTTTTTTTTCTTGAAGTATCATTGATACACAGTCTTATATTGGTTTCAAGTATACAACACAGTGGTTTAACAGTTACCCATATTATTAAATCCTCACCCCCACTAGTGTACTTATTATCTGTCAACATAATAAGATGTTACAGAATCACTGACCATATTAAGATATGCATTTCAGATCTAAGGATGCACATGGGTTGCAAGTGAAAGGATTAAAATAGGTATTCCTTGCAAATAGTAACCAAAAGAGAGCAGGAATGGCTATACTAGTGTCAAACAAAATGGACTCTTAAGACAAAAAACTGTTACAAGACACAAAAATGATACTATATAATGATAAAAGGGTCAATTCACCAATCACATATAACAATTATAAGCATTTATGCACCAAACACCAGAGCTCCAAAATATATGAAACAATCATTACTGAAGGTAGCAATACAGAGTTCTATAAAAATAGTAAGAGACTTCATATTAGCCTATTTTCTATATAGGGTAGAACAACAGATAGAAGATCAACCAGGAAATATAGGACTTAAACAACCTAAAGACCAATTGGACCTAAGAGACATACAAAGAACACTCCACCCAACAAAAGCAGAATACACATTTTTCTCAAGTGCATATGGAATATTCTCCAGGATAGACTGGATGTTAAGACCCAAGATAAGTCTTAATAAATTTTAAAAGACTGAGCTCATACAAAGTATCTTTTCTGATCACAAGGAATTTAGAAATCAATAGCAGAAGAAAAAACTGAAAAATTCACACATGTGGGAATTAAACAACAAACTCTTAAACAACCAATGGGTCAAAGAAGAAATCACAAGGGAAATTAGAAAATACTTCAAGACAAATTAAAATGCAAATACAACATACCAAAGCTTATGGGATGCAGCAAAAGCAGTACTAAGAGGGAAATATATAGCTATATGCATTTACATGAAAAAAGAAGAAAGTTCTCAAATCAACCTGACTTTACACCTTAAGGAACCAGAAAAAGAATAAATTAAACTGAAAGCTAGCAGGACAAAGGAAATAATAAAGATTATAACAGGGATAAAATAGAGATTAGAAAAATAGAGAAATGTTATTTTTAATTAGAAATTAACAGAATTAAAGTTAGAATTACAAATTCAACAACACCAAGTGTCATTTCTTTGAAAAGATCAACAAAATTGATAAACCTTTAGCTTGACTAAGAAAAAAAGAAAGAAGACCCAAATTACTGAAACTCAGAAATTCAAGTGGTGACATTACTACTAATTCTACAGAAATAAAAAGGATTATAAAAGAATACTATACACTACTATATGCCAGTAACTTGGATAACCTACATGAAATGGACAAAGTCCTAAAAACACAACCTACCTACAAAAGACTGAATCATGAAGAAATAGAAAATTTCAGTAGACGTCTAGCTAGCAAGGAGACTGAATCAGTAACCAACCTTCCAACAATGAATATTCCAATACCAGATAGCTTCACCGGTGAATTCTACCAAACATTTAAAGAAGAATTAACAGCAATCCTTTTCTCCCAAAAACTGAAGAGCAGGGAACAATTCCTAACTCTTCTATGAGGCCAGCATTACCCTGACATCAAATTTTAGTGTAATTTGAATACACTAAAGCTGTTTAAAACACAGATGGCTGCCCCTCCCCACATAGTGTTGTGACTCAGCAGGTCTGGGATGAGGCCTGAGACATCACCACAGGTGATGATAATGTCACAGGGACCAAACTTGAAGAACTACTTCTTTGCGAATACCTCCCATACTGCTACGACCTGTATGTGTGTGGCACCCCACAGGGCCATGTACCCATATGCCTCAAGGTAGCACACATTTTGTTATCTCATCAGGGCCCAAAGAAGCCATTTAGCAAGAGGAATATACCCATGATGCCAATTCACTTGGCTGGACATTCTGGGAACGCCAACATCCTGATGGTAGTGCCCCATACTGCTACTTTACTAAGCACTTTTATATACAGTATCTTAAATTTCACTCTTCTTACAGATGAGGACTTTGGGGCTTGGGGGATATGCCCAAGGTCACAGAGCTAATAAATGGTAGAGCAGGGATGAAGATCTCAGTCTTCTAACTGAGCCCAGGATTCCTTCCACTAGACCTCAATCCACTGGACAGATAGGATCATGCAGGTGTGTGCTGGGAAGAGTGTCATGACATACAGGCCTGGAATCAACCCCCTGGACCTCCACCACCACCATACTGAGTCCACAGAGCTCTGTGGGGCTCAGACACATGGGCTCTGAAAATGCTTCCCAGACGGTCCTACTGCACAGCCCATTATAGCTCACTGCCTGCTGGTAGGCAGACAAAAGGAACACAGGTATATGCACATATATATGAGGCGGCTCCAGGTGGACCAAGATACTCAGAAATACCGACAGTGGCTCCCTCTTCCATTACCACTGACGCTGAGCTTCATTTAGATTTTGCGACACTGCTCTGTTCATTCATAAAACACCTCACTTTCACACAATACCTGTTTTCAGGAAAGGCCCATTTTGTACTTTTTCAAAGTGACAGGCTGGCAAAAGTGCCTGGCTAACATTTCTGAGTTTTTATGTTGCATTTGGATGTGTCTGACGCTTAATAATAAAAGGAAAAGGTAAGAACACTGGAATTATGTCTACCATTTCTTAAACGGAAAGAGTTTTCTGATAAATTCTAAATTGCTAAGCTCCAAAAAAAGTTATATCACAACTCTGATCCATCCTGTTCTGTAGAAAATGAGATATTTTTAAAAAGTGGCCTACTCCTCATCCTACAGTATGGGAGAATATATTTGTAAATGACATATCCGACAAGGGGTTAACATCCAAAATATATAAA